CTCTGAATATACCGCTCCGAACGCATTCCGTAAAACGCGCACGCAAAATACGTAGAATTCGTAGAAAGAACGCATAGAATTCGTACGGAGAATACATAGAAAGAACGTACAGAATTCGCGCAAAATGCGCAAAAAGAACGCACAGAATTCGCACACAGAATACGCAGAAAGAACGTACAGAATTCGCGCAAAATGCACAAAGAAAAACGCACAGAATTCGCACGCAGAATGGGCTGGAAGCACGAACAGAATTCGCGCAGAATTCGCACGCAAAATATGCAGTAAATGCACGGAATGATCCTTCTATCCTTCTATTCTTCTATTCTTCTATTCTTCTATTCTTCTATTCTTCTATTCTTCTATTCTTCTATTCTTCTATTCTTCTATTCTTCTATTCTTCTATTCTTCTATTATTATTTTTAATTCAAAAAAGTTACCACTAGTTATTATTATTAACTTCACGTAGTAATATACGAAACCACGGCTTCCTAGGCCTCAAGCGCTTCCACTAATGACTCATATCCCTCATCATTTTCGATAGGATACAGGAAGAGAGGAGAAGAGAGCGAAGAGGGAGTGGATGTGCAATGTTCTCGCATTCATTACACGGGACTTGAAAGTATCTCACGAGGCGGCTTGGATCTGGCCTGCATGCATGCAGGTGGCTAGATGCCAGCCCAGAGATGTTCAGCGCCAAAGTTTTCGCTCCGTACCCTGCCTGCTCAATCTCCTTTAAGGCGGTTGCTTGTGATAAGGCCCAAGCAAAAGCTTTGTTTGGGGCCGCTGAAACAACCTGCATAGTGCTGCAGATGCTAGATACTCCGCAGGCTGTTCAGTTGTTCTTCTTACTGCCTCTCGTATGCGCCTTGGCATACACTGTTGCTGACATGCACATGCACGGGTGATCCCCTAGGAGATCGTCATTGCATGCGTTCACTCATGTGCATAGGGTGCTGGACCTCATTCTTCATTCATGTCAGGCGCTCTAGCTCTGCCCCTTCCTTGTTGCGTGTGGCAAGATGCATCTACGCTGTGCCGTTGGTACGGCCCACCGTAAATGGATTATATTAGGATCGTTTTCGATCTAGCCTTAGCTACGTGCTCCGCAGACTGCCTCAGTCTCTAGATATGTCGGTGGGTTATAACGCGAAGCTCGAATAGGGCGTGCCGAGATAGTCCTCAGTCGTCCAGCATTGCATGCCTCCGCCTTACTGCAAGATGGCTTCCAGTTCAGTTTCTCAGCTCCAAACTTAGGCGTCGAAGCGTACATGTATAACGCTGTCGTGTGCTTACTCAAATCAACTCTCCAATCCTAATTGTCTACAACCGTTTGCTCCCAGTCGAAGAAGAGGATCAGATGAGCTCCACATCTCGAATCCGTAGGTGGTGGACAGAGGAAGAGGACCAGATCCTTCGACGGGAAGCAGACTTTCAGCGTAAGTGTATAGCTGGGGGGATCAATCACTCAAAGCCTGAGACTGATGACGGGACCCTTGCAGTGAGCCGTGGAAGCCTCAACGATTGGAACCGCATAGCAGCAAAACTTCCCGGACGAACAAACAAGGATTGCCGCAAAAGGTGGAGTAAAATACCAGGTCATATCAACAAAGGTGTGTGAAGCAATGCCGAGGACCAGAGATTGAAGAGTGGTGTCAAGACTTTTGGATATCGGTGAGTTCTCATCCGATGCCATGAAACAAAGCGTATGCAGCTGACGATGGATCCACAGTTGGACACACGTTGCCCAGAGCGTGGGGACACGTAATGCAGACCGTAAGTACTTCCCCGCCGGCATGGGAAGGCCGAGAATTGGCACTGACGATCGACGTAGAATGTGCGAAGCGGTGGCATCATTCTCTGGATCCATCCCTCGATCACAGCGAGTGGGTGCCCGAAGATGACGCCCGGCTACTTGCAGCTGTTGCCTCTTGCGGACGTGTTTGGAAGACCATAGGGAAGAAAGAATTTCCTGGACGATCAGCCACTGAGCTGAAGAACAGGTAAGATGAGGAGACGTTCCTTATTGGAGAGATCCAACATTTATACCCCTACCCCAGATATGTCATCATAGACAGAAAACGCCAACAATCGGACGATCCCTCTGCACCTCGAACCGCCTCAAAGGATAGTACCGGATCTGCCACGGCACATGCAGAAGTCGACATGGAAGACTCGGAATCCAAAAATAGTCTCTCAGAGGACGACGTGGCAGAGGTCCCAGACTTGGATTTCTACTCCGACATCCTCTCGCATATGGCCTCCTCCCGTACCACTCCAGGGTCTAATTTGACCTCGCATACCACATCATCCCTCACCACACCAGGGTCTTACGTCCCTTCGCACAGTGTCTCCCCACATGTTATATCACAAGACTTCTCTTTTACAGAAAACGAATTTGCTGCAGGCCTACCGACCCCTCAAAACAGTAATGAATATTTCAGCGGCACCCCGGGCGCCTTCTTCAGCCAAAACGACACTTCTCTCTCATTAGACAACCCGACGCTAGATTTGGGCACGCTATGGAACACGACATATTTCCCTCTACCTACGCAGCAGAAGGGCGATGATGCGATGACAGGCGTGGAAGTGGGCAAGGAAAACCTCAGGAACAAGTTAATTCTGGAGGATGTGCAGCCACAGATGGTGACGAGCATCATCAAGATGCTGTTTGAGTCCAAGTCTGTTGTTAAGATGAAGATTGTGAGCCAGGAATGAAGATGGGGTCAGCGCCGCTGTTAGGTGGGCTTTTTCTGTGAACATGCTCCAGAACTAGACCTAGATATGCAGAATTAGAGTAGACTTTAACGCAATCCATGTATCACATATTTCTTTGTTGCAGTGGTCGCGGTTGGTCTATCATAATACAGCCTATTGTTTGAATTGTCGTCCAAAGAAGAAGATACTGTGCATTGCGAAAGTGTTGCAATTCCTTGGCGTTACCCTCGAATTGCTGGCACCGCAGGGCAGAATTGTGGTGAGATATAGGAATAGCTCCCCACATACGAAAAACGCGTAGAAATTGCTTAAAATTGCTCATAGACCTTGCTGGCGCTTGTATCTTACCCTATCTCAACTGCTGGCCCTTGGTGTTGAGTTTCTGATAAGTAGATTACGTCTATCAAAGCTAGCAGTGAATTAAATAAAATCTTACAGACTTTAAGAAGAAGGATGTAAGATATTAAGAAGGAGAATAGCAAGGAGGAGGACATTATAGAGGAGGATATTATAGAGGAGGATAGTGCAATGGCTCGAAACTAGAACAAGTCAATAGTCCATAGATTGCTAAAACGTAAGCTGGGGAATCTATCTACAGTGCGGCCAACGCGCTGATCTATATACTCCTCCATTCAACCCCAGGGGTGCTACTAGCTGGCCTGCGCGGAAGACCCAACGGGGTGTCCACAGGGCCAGAAGCGGTAGCTTCCCTTCTTGAGGAGATTGCACGTCCCTAAAGAGGTTGTACCAATCTGCTGTTCCATAGTGTCTGCACGGGGAGCGACGTGCCGTACGAATGCCTCTATCGGCGGCATAGTAGCCTACGGCACGAGTTCCGCGTGCCGTTGTGGATACGCCATCGGCGCTGCCATCCGAGCGCATGGCTGGCCCTGGCAGAGGAAATGCTCCATCCATCACAGATAGCAAAGAGGAGGATAGCAAGGAGGAGGATATTAAGAAGAAGGCTAGCAAAAAGGAGGCTATCAAGGAGGAGGCTAATAAGAAGGAGGCTAGCAAGAAGGAGGCTAATAAAAAGGAGGATAGTAAGGAGGAGAGTAGGGAGAAGGAGGCTAGCAAAGAGGAGGATAATAAGGAGGAGAATAGCGAGAAGGAAGATAATTAAGAAGGAGGATAGTGAGGAGAAGGATAATAAGAAGGAGGATAATAAGGAGGAGGATATCAAGGAGGAGGATATTAAAGAGGAAAATATTAAGGAGGATATTAAGGAGGATATTAAGAAGAATATATCTCTCTTTTGCTTAATATTATATCTAACTCTATAGTATAAGACAAATAAAAAGTATTACTCTTTTCAATCTCCTTCTTCTTGATATCTTTCTTCTTAATATTCTTCTTTTTGATATTCTTCTTTTTGATATTCTTCTTCTTGATATTCTTCTTCTTGATATCCTTCGTCTTGATATCCTTCTTCTTGATATCCTCCTTCTTGATATCCTTTTTAATATCCTTCTTCTTGATATTCTCTTCCTTGCTATCCTCCCCTTTACTATCCTCCTTGTGATGGATGGAGTATCTCCTCTGCTATGGCGCAGGAAATACACGGGACCAGCCACGCACTCGGATGGCAGCGCCGATGGCGTATCCACAACGGCACGCGGAACTCTTGCCGTCAAGCTACTATGCCGCCGATAGAGGCATCCGTACGGCACGTGGCTCCCCGTACGAGTACCATGGAACAGGGGATTGATACGACCCCTTTAGGGAAGTACAATCTCCTCCAGAGGGAAGCTACCGCTTCTGGCCCTGCAGATACTCCGTCGGATCCTCCGCGCAGGTTAACTAGTAGCACCCCTTGTGTTCGATGGAGGAGTATATAGAGTAGAGCGCTGGCCGCACTGTAGATAGACTCCTCAGCTTACGTTTTAGCAATCTATGGACTATTGACTTGTTCTAGTTTCGAGCCATTGCACTCCTCTTTGCTATCCTCCTCCTTATTAATATCCTTTTCCTCATTAATATCCTTCTTGACGAACTGTGCTGACTCATCGACGGATCAGTGTGGAAATAGCAAGTTGTTCTATCTAATTCAGTGCGAAAGCAGCGCGTACTTATACATACAAAGTCGTTATATCAAGCGCAGTAGCGCGAAACGCAGATACCAAAAATACATGCGTGGCTGATGCAAAACGCGTATCAATTCTGTAACAAAGCGCTGGTGACACACGTAGCAAAATAAGCGCAGACCATATTTTTGAGTTCAACACTTCTTCTTACTATTCTCCTCCTTATAAATATCCTCCTCTCTGTTATTCTCCTCCTTACAGATATCCTCTTCCCTATTATCCTCTTCTTACCATCCTACTTCTTACTATCCTCCTTATTATCCTCTTTATATTCTCTTCTCTATTTGCGTTATAAAGGCGCTATAAAGCTCTCCTTACATTTAAATGCTTCTCACAATTCAACATCATAGTTTTCTAGCTCAAAATTTTAGCAATAAGATCACAAGAGAGTCTATTTTACTATCCGGGCGATTTTGGCCATTCTACTATGTTAATTAAAGTGGTAAATGGCCATCCTCTGCCCTCACTGCAATGACGATGGTGCCAGCGCTGGAAGAGAGTAACAAGGAGTTTCGAGAAGATGAAGCAGCGAAAAAGGAACTGGTATGACAATGGAATATCTGGAATCACTCAACATGCCAATTCTTATTCGGCTCTGATTCAACAAGATTGGGCTTGCCGTATGTGGCTTGCTACTCTGGGGTGACGCTATCTCGCCTGTGGTAAAGCATGATCATTTCGCTACTTGAGCTCTAGGTATCAGCAAGCCAAAAGCAGTCTCGGTTCTTGCGCCATCATCTTCGCCTAGCAACCTACCAGCGTACGAATTAGACTTCTCCTCCTCCATAGCAATCCACGGCTACCCTGCAGCCCGCATGCACCACACCTCAGAAATAACGTTCTGTCTCCTTCTCGCACCAGCTCCAGAACTTTTGCGCAGCCCCGGTACCGCCCTCCGACTGCGGCTTGAGCCCTTTCTCGATGTGCTCGGGATGTCGCCGAAGCGGCCCCAGGGGATGATGAAGCCACCGTTATGCTTGGCTGTGATATTGGGCGAGAGTGCGGCGAAGAGCTCGCTATACGCGCCGAACAAGGGGGGTTTGAAGAGGATACCCTGAAGAGGAGACGAGTTAGCGGGAGAAATGTGTGACAAGAGCTTGATACCAATTGCGTGGGAGAAGGCGTACCATGATAACGCTTTGCATCTTGGGACTATGACGCTGCAGCTCGGTCTTCATCAGGCCTGGATTCACGCTCTGTCTCGAGGTTAGCAATGGCAGCGGTCCACACGGCCAGAAAGAAGAGGTCAACCAACCATGCTGATGACACCTTGTCTACCTAGACGCTTTGCAGCCTCCGACGCAAGAAACAGGTTGCCGACCTTACTCTGCATGTAGTTTTGCATCGCATTCTTCAAGACCTTGGGACTGCCGCTCTTCTCATCAAACTGGATACCACCAGGTGGCACCGAAGCTGTTATCATGGAGGAAAGCCAGACGATACGCACATGGTCGGGAGTTGATTGTGCCTGCGCGGTACGAATCAAGATTGGCTCCAGGAGATGATTCAAGAGGAAGGGACCAAGGCAATTGGTCGCCATTTCGAGATCGTGGCCCTGTTTGGCGCCAGAAGTCAGCGCTCAAATTCGCAAGAACGAACCAAGAGAGAGCTCACCAGCTTGTCCTTGCTGTCAGCTGGTGGAGTCATCACGCCGGCATTGTGAACCAGGACATCTAAGCGGTCCTCCTTCTGAAGAAAATTCATTGGCGGCCTTCTTGACGGTGGGAAAGTCCGCCAGGTCGAGGAGCAGAGGAGCCAGGCGACCTTTGCTAGAAGGAGCACTGGCTTGGATGTTCTTGATGGCGCGGTTCACCTTCTGAGGAGCGGGCGGCGACGTAGACGTGGCCGTTTTGGCCGTAGAGCAGCTTGGCGAGCTCGTATCCTACGCCCGATGCTGCACCAGTAACGATGAAAACCTGCGAGTTAAGTCAACAGCGTTCTATCTTGAGCGTTAGGAAGAAAAAATCCTACCTTGCCCTCGAGGTTGCCGACATTTTTTTCTGTAAAGGTTGGCGCTGGGGGAAATGCCTGGCTGAATGTTGAAGGCATGATTCCTGTGTCTCTTCGACCTGTGGCGCGGAACAAATCCCAGTGAAACTCACATGGAGAAAGCTGCAACGAAAGAAAGGCCAAGTTACTTTACTGCTCGAGGAAAATGCTTGTGTGTTCGCCGAGCATCGTTCAATTCCAACGAGGCTTCCAGGCAGACAAGAAAGAAAGTTCAGCTTCCGTGTTTGCAATCCGAGCTGTTTTGGCCGTGGTGCCACCAGCGGTATGTACTGGTATTCGTATCCATGCATACACGTGGCATGCAGGTGGCCGATGCAGAGCCTTGCGGGCTGTACGGGCGACAGCATCAGCATGATCATCGCCGACGGAATCACCAAGGGAGTACTTCGTCCACCGTTTTGTCTGCTGGTAGCAACATAGAAAGCACCTTCATGCGCTGCCAGAGGAAGACTGGCAGTTCTGCCACGCGCACTCTGCGCTGCATGACAGACAGTCAGCGATCTAAACTTGGGACCAACCAGCGGCTCAAGGGCCTGAAATCACGACCACACCACGGTCCAAATGGGGAATGTTGTGGAGCAGTATCAGCTCAAAACGTGTATCTTGCTGGGAAATCTAAGTACGAAACTCGGAGGATATAGCTCCGCAGGCGCCAAAGCCCCCTACAACGCTCCCAATCCCACTTCGCCCCCAACTCGTTAAGGCAGTCTAGTCCTCCACGAGGCTTCATCCCTTCTCACACTATAGGACCCGAGTCCTTGGCCATTGTCGACGAGAGGGGCAATGGCGGGGAGATGTTTAAGAAATCCACTCCCTCTACCCTTTCTTCATGTTTCGTACCGCATTTCTGTCAAACTCCTACGCTTCTCCCATCGTTTTTCCATTAGCTGCACACTTTCTGTGGAGCCGCCTCCGTGCGAAACATTCTTTGGTTTGAAACACGCTCGTTTATCTTCCAATTCATATTAGTCGCATAGATCTAATCCTGAGATATATAATTCACACGACGTCATGTTTGGCTCCATTTGCGCTATCGGCACCTGCTCCAGCAGCTGACTATTACTCGGCCAACGACAATAACGACCTACTAGGTTCTCATTTTGGGCTCCTTGGAAACAAAACCTTCGACTATGCCGTGGTGGGTGGAGGTACTGCTGGTCTGGCCATCGCCACCAGGCTTGCAGAAGACTCTTCAAAGTTGGTAGCTTTCATTGAGGCTGGGCGCTTTTACGAGATTGGCAACGGGAACTTGAGCCAGATCCCCGTTTACGCTCCTGCTTTCAGTGGAAAATCGCCATTCGACATAGCTCCTTTGGTGGATTGGGCGTTCCTCACAACGCCACAAACGGTCTGTTGGGACCGTCTAGGTGGCAGATCTCGGTAACTGACTTGCGTCTAGGGATTTGACAATCAACCCACTCACTACACCCGGGGGAAATGTCTGGGTGGAAGCTCTGCTCGCAACTACCTGACATATCAAAGACTGAGCGCGCAATCCTTGCAGCTGTGGGCCGACACGGTCGATGAGCAAAGTTATACTTTCAATAACTTCGTGCCGTATTTTGAAAAGAGTCTGACTTTCACCCCACCGGTCGCCAGTCTCAGAGCCGCAAATGCTACACCAGAGTACGACTCGTCAAAAGTCGGTACCGGCAGAGGGCCACTATCAGTCACATTCGGACATTATGCCTAGGCATTTTCCTCTTGGGCACAAGCTTCATTCAAGCAGCTGGGCATCCAACCCATTAAAGGTTTCACAAAGCGGCAACATCCTGGGTTCCTCCTACCAACTCCTGAAAATCGATGGCCAGACAACATTACGGGACTCTTCCGAAACTTCTTTTCTCCGTAAGAATGGCCTCAGACGTCCCAATCTGATAGTCTACCAATCCACCCTCGCCAAACGTATCATCTTCGACAACGCCAAAACCGCTGTGGACGTTGAGGTTGATATTGGCAATCTCGGAGGCATAACCTTCATCCTCTCTGCAACGACAGAAGTCATCATCTCTGCTGGCGCTTTCCAATCCCCCCAACTCCTCATGGTCTCCGGCGTCGGCCCGGCCGCCACATTGCGCCAAAACAACATCCCAGTAATTGCTGATGTACCCGGCGTAGGCCAAAATATGTGGGACCACATCCTAGGCGGGCTCTCCTACCGCGTCAACGTACTCACCACTTCCGAACTTGGCAGCCCCGCCTTCTCCGCCCAAGCTGCCGACCAATTCCACGCCTCCCCCCCACGAGGCATGCTCACCAACAGCGGCGCCGACCTCCTCGCCTTCGAAAAGATCCCTCAACAACTCCGCTCCAACTTCACTCCCTCCGCCCTCGCCGACCTCGCCAAGTTCCCCGCCGACTGGCCCGAGCTCGAATACATCCCCACCGCCGCTCGAGGCCCCCACCGACGGCTACAACTACGCCACCATCGCCACCGTGCTGGTCGCGCCCTTCTCCCGCGGCAACGTCGGCATCCGCTCAGCCGACATGAAAGAACCCCCCCATCATCAACCCGAACTGGCTCACCCACCCCACGGATCAGGCCGTCGCAGTCGCCGGCTACAAGCGCGCCCGCGCATTCTTCGAAGCCTCAGCCATGAAGCCCGTCCTCATCGGCGGGGAATACTTCCGCGGCGCGAACGCGCGAGCGTCACTTCTGACCGGGCCATTCTGGAGTTTATCCGCAAGAGTTTCAGCACCGTCTTCCACGCTAGCTGTACCTGCAAGATGGGGAACAGCAGCGACGCGAGCGCGGTGTTGGATGCCAGGGCGAGGGTCAGGGGGGTCAAGAACCTGAGGGTCGTGGATGCGAGCAGCTTTCCCATCTTGCCGCCGGGCCATCCGGTTGCGACCGTTTGTGAGTACCCTTTGCCTACTTGGGACCCTCTTTATCTATTTTCTTACTGACGACGCCCAATAGACGCGCTCGCGGAGAAGATTGCCGAGGATATTAAGAGGGGCGGGGCATAAGGGCTGAGTAAACTGGGCTGGCATAGGCGTTTAGAGGGTGCTGTATATATGGTCAGCGGTAATGGTACGCGGCTGGTTCACTTCTTGTGGGGGGTCATCTTTTCAAAGGAGGATTGGATTCAGATGGATCAGGTGGAATTTTCTTGCATGTTGTATTACGCGGGAGAGAGATGGACGAGGGAGATGCGCGGGGTGATGTGGAATTGCTGGGCGGAGGAGCGGAGTTTGGGGAGGAGGAGCAGGGCCAGGAGGAAAGTGGAGACTACGTTGACTGTGATGGATGACCTAGACGTCGGTCAACTGGCGAGCACTGGTGATGGGTGATGGGAGGGAGAGGAGCAGTATGTACTCGTTATCTTCAGCTAATTCAAACTCATGCGCCGATATGCCTGCGTTCTCCAACACAGCATCCAACCTCAGCCAGTCCCTCCGCTCGGCCTGCGAACGCCTTGACGGAAGCGTAGCTTGCTAGATCTAGCTCCCATCCCTCTACAACGCCTGTCCTGCCTGTTGACCCTCGATGTATCTCTTGGCATCCTCGCCTTTGCGAATTTTTCTGACCGCCAGGATCACCTTTGACACGCCAAGGCGGACGATGTGATTCGCCGCTTCACGGCCGAGACCAGTGTTGGAGCCTGTGACGATGATGGTTTGGCCGGAGAAGGAGTGGATGGGAATGGGAAGCTTCACGAAGAACTGGCTGTAAAGAAGGGAGAGGCCTGCACGGGGACTCATAATAGCTGTAACGACTATAATTACGGAATAAACGTCTAGGAGGCAAAACAGCGATGATAGAGAAAGAGGCAGAGAATGCTTGTGGTGGCCAATGAGGAGACAGGCTTTGGCGCACAAGAAGGGGCTGACCTCAGCGGACGAGCAATGACAGCTGTTGCCAATTGGACCCTAGAAGGATTGGAGCATAGGAGTGATTTCCCTTGGGCCTTCTCGTTCCTGTACCTGTCGCATGAGCGTCGAAGGCAGACTCCTGGGGGTAGAGCAGGTTGATTCCGTTCGGGAATGCATGCGGCACGGCTGTGTCGCGCTTTCGACAAGGACCCGAGTTGTTCCAAGCCATATGCCGGTCATGTTATAATCATAATAATAATAATAGCTGGGCAGCAAAGACAGCGAGCCTGACCCTTGAGTTGAGCAACGTTTGATATCAGTAGTGCATCATCGCGCAGGACCTGAGTGTCTGCTTGCTATTTTCGGGCTCTCCATAGCTGAAGGCTTGCATATTGTAGCGAGTGTCAGTGCCAGTGGCAGTGCCAATAATGGCTGAATGGTGCTGGTGATTAAATGTTCAATCAATTAAACTGGCCCCCAAAAAAATAAAAAATAAAAAACAGGGAGGGCTCTTCGATTTCTTCGTTCGATTTCTTCGTTCGATTTCTTCGTTCTAGAGTTGCGATCACATGACCAACACCAAAGTACGACGAAGCTCTCAATGCCACCGCCGATCACCACCTCTACATTCTTCTCCAGGGCCAACATCAATCTTCAAACACAAGACAATACTAGCATCCAGACGGTCCCTGAGTTGATTGAGTATAATGCAAGGAACAACCCTCATCATCCCTTCTGCATCCAAGTGCAAAAGCAGAGTAAGGATGCTCGACCACGATTACTCTCGGTCTCCCACCTACAGCTGAAGCGTGCCATCGCGCAATGTCAGGCATGGCTTGCGAACACATTGGTGGAGTTGAAGCTTCCATCCACCAGCAGTGATGGCACGGTGTACAAGGGTCCGCCGGTGGCTTTATACGTCGACAGCGATGTTGGGCTATTGATACACCTCTTCTCTTTGATGAGTTTGGGAGTCCCCGTACGCTTGCATTCCGGTGAACGCATAAGCTGTGTCAACTGACGAATGGCAGGCGCTTCTTCTATCTGCGAGGCTGAGCCCCACCGCCATCCATCATCTCTTAACCAGCACTGCGGCCGATGCAATCATCGTATCCCCTCGGTTGAAGAATACCGCCAAAGAAGCGCTCTCGCTCTTCTCTACAACAGGGCCCCGAACTGCGGTATATGCTCAGGCTGCCTTTACCTCTTTCCTTGATCCGCAAGCGGATCAGAAGCACGCGGATGATGGCAGCATATGCAAGCCAGGCTATTACGTCAGGGAGAACGACCGCAATGTGCTGATACTCCATTCTTCCGGCACGACGGGGCTTCCGAAGCCAATACCTCAAAGCCATAAGTGGCTTCTGTGTTTCGCAACATGTCACGAGTTCTCCGGTGACGAGGAAACGTTAAGCTTGAGCTTATCCACACTTCCGCTCTACCATGTCAGTGTTCCTCTTAAGCTTTGATTTGACGGCTATTGATGTTTTCATGTCAGGGATATGGCCTAGTCGCTCCGGCGCTATCTCTCGGTATCGGCAAGACCATTTGTATTCTGCCTCCCTCTGTAATCCCAACCGGCGCTTTCATAATAGACCTGTTGAAATCTTCAAAGGCCCATTCCCTCATCTCGGTCCCATCCATCCTTGAGGAGATATCTACCCTTCCCCAAGATCAAGGGATACAAGCGCTGGCGTCCCTGCAATTCGTTGCCTTTGGCGGCGGACCTTTGAAGCCTCGTGTAGGAGAGAAGCTTACTGCCGGCGGTGTGAAGGTCTTGAATCACTATGGTAGCACAGAAAGCGGGCCTATTGCACCGTTTTTCGTGCCGAGGCCTGAATACGACTGGCACTACTTTCGACTGAGAAAAGACATGAATATGCGGCTTGAATGTGGGCCTTTACTCGAGGAAGATGTACAATCATATACACTGATCACGCATCCGTTTGGCTGGGAAACCAAATTCATATTTCAGGACCAATTGATTAGCAATCCTCGGAACCCGACCTCTGACTTCAGCGCCATAGGAAGGAACGACGACCTAATTGTGCTTGCTAATGGGGAGAAAGTCACACCACGAATTCTAGAAACCATGCTTTCTGAAAGCCATCTTGTGAATGCTGCTATTGCCTTTGGAGAAGGTCAATTCGAGCTTGGCGTCATTATCCAGCCCTCAATGTCCCTAACAGTGGAGGAATACGATCATTTCAAGTCGTCTACTTGGCCCACTGTTCTCCAGGCTGGCGAAAGGATGGATGCCCATGCCCGCATCTCTTCTCAGGATGCAGTTATCATCGTTCCGTCTGGCACGCTCCTTCCAAGATCGGATAAGGGATCGATTATGAGGAAAGAGGTCTACAAAATGTTCGAAGCGGAAATTGCGGCGGTCTATCAAGCTCTAGACAACAAAGTCATCGGCACCAGCGCTGTTCACCTGGATATGGACAACTTGGGAGAGGACCTCAAGACTTTAATCCAAACTCATCTTACATGGAGGCCCAAAGCAGAGGAATGGACGATTGATGATGATTTTTTTGAGCTGGGAATGGATTCGCTCCAAGCTGTACAGCTCCGCCGCTTCATTCTTTCGTCCATGCCAAATCTACCAATGTCGGCACAGAGAGCGGAAAGAGTTCCTCGTGACATCATATATCAGAATCCCACCGTCGCTCAGCTAGCAAAAGCTCTCAAAGCCCCAGCTGAGTCGTCGCCCAATGACAGCTCGATCGACCATCTTGTGGAGCAATTCTCAATTAAAGCAGATAAGGCTGACGTAGCACGAGATGCAGGTGCAGTGGTGTTGATGACGGGCGGCACCGGCAGCCTTGGAAGCTGTATGCTGGCTCATTTGGCATCTCTTCCAAGCGTCGCTCGGGTCATTTGCCTCAATCGTCCCAACCGGATTACGGATGCCTATACACGACAGCTAGAAGCCTTCAAATCGAAATGCATCACTACCGACGCCGAAGCATGGTCCAAGGTTGATATATTTGAAACAGATACGGCTTTGCCGTTGCTGGGTCTGAAGGAGATCGAATATACGCGTATCCTACAGCAAGTGACGCACGTCTTTCACAATGCCTGGCCTATGGACTTCAACAGAAAGCTGCCATCTTTCAAGGCTCAGTTCCAGGTACTCCAAAATCTGCTCGGCCTGGCTAGGAATGCGCATAGCATTCGTCCTCCAGTTCGGCCCAAGATGTTATTTGTTTCTTCGATTGCGGCTGTAGGCCAATACCCGCGTGTCAAAAAAGAGACAATTGTCCCAGAAATGTTCATGGAAGACGAGAGATGTAGCAATGACATCGGTTATGCAAAGGCTAAGCTAGTATGCGAGAAAATCCTAGAAAGGGCAGCAAGGGACCATGCCGACAAAATTGAAGTTGTCTACGTTCGAGTTGGTCAAATGTCGGGATCGAAGAAGAGTGGAAACTGGAATAGTGATGAACACATTGCGGCGCTTTTCAAGTCATCTCAAGCCATTGGGAGCTTGCCACGACTAGAAGGGGTATCGTCTCCCTAAAAAGCATATTGCCTGCAAATTGTGCTGACCTGACCTAGACTCTCTCATGGATACCAGTGGACTCTGCAGCAGAGACACTGGCAGAGCTGCTCCTCAGCAAGTATCTGACAAAGGTGGCTTATCATCTCGAGAACCCGATCAGACAATCCTGGCATGATGCTCTTGAAATTATCGCGCCCGAGCTCGGTGTTCCGAGTACAGAATTTACTCCATTCACTGACTGGCTAGACAAGGTATGCGCAGTCCCTAACGAAATGGGCGACACAGTTCCGGCGAAAAAGCTAGAGGATTTTTTTAGAACAGACTTCGAGCATATGGCCTGTGGCAGCATTGTGCTCGACACCAAAAACACAAGAGATGTATCATCGACTTTACGACACTTAAGTCATGTACGTGGAGAATTGCTCGTGTCTTATATTCGCCACTGGAAGAGCATTGGATATCTAGCTTGACTATGAAGGCTCCACGGTTCTCGAACGCATCTTTGTGCTGCCCTTTCGCTTGTTCCCAATACCAAAGATTTCGTCGTAAGACCAACGCGAAGGGTCTCGTGTGGCATCAATTTACATTTTACCAAATGCAAAGAAATCATATATTAGTTTGCTGCAATTTAACTCTCAAAATTTCTAATTGAAACGTTTTGTTGTTCCTTGCTTTCGTGTTCTTCTCTTCTCAACGGCCATTGTGTTGGGCTAGTTTCGAGTCCTGCTCACAACAGCTATATTTAGCGAGATCGCAATGAGAGGACCCGAGTCGGGAGGGGCAACAAAAAGAAAATGCGCAGCTTAGCGGGTAAGGCAACACAAAGCCACTACTAACCTTTTCCGAGAAAGGCTATAGAACGAACATACGGACTAGGCGCATGGTACTGGGCTTGTCTTGAAAAAGAACAGCCACTGTTAGCCAAGATAAGTGAATCCATGGCTCACGCTATGTCTGAGCGACTGCGAGTGCGGTTGTGTGCATGCTCACAGGCTAACCTTGTGCTTTGCATTCGCCGATCTCGGCACCCAGTGCGGCTGACTGGGACCCGGAGCCTATGTGAGATACCAGATTCAAGCTGCATGGCACGTGGCCCGAGTAACAATGCGGCCAGAGACCCGACTCTGTGGCCATGCTAACGGCTCAAGGATCGTATTCGCTATCTTTAGGGTAAGTGAAAGAGGCATGGCCATTCTCTTATAGGGAATTGGACAGGACGGCATATCTTGGTTTGTATATACATTCATAGACTCTTCAACTAACACGCCCCTGGTTTATCAACTATTCCAGGGTGGAGTCTCGTTCACCACTCCTCAAATGGCTACCAGTCCTCCTTCCAGCACCGCTAAGGCTCTCCCGTCGATCGTCATGTTTGGTTCTCAGA